ACCGCCGTCAACGTCCACCACCACCCTTCACCACCACCACCACCACCACAATCGTCCATACACCACCACCGTACACTACCAGCATTAATTTATATAGCAGTCTATAGACATTAAAAAACAAATAGTCTTCTTGTTGCAGACTGCAAACCTTCGGTACACCACTTCTCCTGTAGATGTCTACAGTAGTGGTCCGCAGACTGCAGACCTTTTCCTGCAGAAAAAACAAACACCCCCGTAGTGTTTTCATATGTAATTTTTATTTTTTTAACTCTATACCATTTATCATATAAAATGATTTAAAAGTAATTTTAGTCAAATATCGTAAACTTTGCTATAAATTGGAACGGAGAGAGTAGTAATTATGCATTTTTTTTGGGGATCTTCTTCCCAGTCCACCACTCGTATTCTAGGGTGAGAATGCTCGGTAAGCTTCTCCAATTACTTCTGGCCTCTTTCTACATGTCAATATTGATTACTTTGGCTTACTCGAAAACAGTCTATCAATAAGAAGCTGAAAATTAGTAAAGGAAAATGAGAAATGTGAAAAATTAGTAAGAGAGAATGAAGATGGGCAAAATCTCTACAATTCAAGGGTTTGTATTCATCCATGTTTTGTGCTATTGTGAGTGTTCAAGCTCATCTCATTTTCATGTTTTTTTAAACCAAAAATATTATTAAAGCACCACTGAAATACAGTCTATGGGCGAACCAACGTAGTCCCCGACGCATGCGATAGAATAAAAACACGAGCAAGCAAGTGCGCTCATTACCAGTGCGGTGAACAAAAATGAAACTAAGAAGTCGGCACAGATTGCCTCCTTAACTGCTACAACCTCTGTCTCGTTCATTAGAATTTTACCTACGTTGAACATTCTTTCTTGCAATGAGGTGCCTTCAAAGATCTCAAATGACAAAATCAAAACAAGGCATATAAACACATTAACTTGAAGTAATAGTGTTTGGAAACTAGTGCGTGTTTCATTCTTTTACATTTCAATTCCAAAATTTAAATTCTTGAATTTCAATTCACAAGATAAGACATGTGGATTTGCAATTCAAGTTTGTAATGAAATGCAGGATTTTTCAAATCACAAGATAAAACATATTTTTTTGTATTAACTGTGTTTAATAAGAACTTTACACATAGTGGTAAAGAACGAAGTCTTGCTACGAATGTTGGTTAGTTTTTTTTTTAAAAATGATACTGGGTTAAATTTTTCGTCTTGCTTTAGTTATTTTCCAAATTTTAATTACATATAGAGTATATTCTTTTTTATTACTCCGTAATTCTAACTCACTTTTTACAATGTATATTTGTGCGGGTGTACCGACCAAATGTCATGTGTTTTCAGTAAATAGAATTTCTGGATCCGCGACAAGGATGAGTGATGGGGCACTCCTTGCATGACAAATTCAAAGACTAGAGAGAAATAAGGGAGATGCTTACAGTCATTAGCTTGCTATTTACGAACAAAAGTATACTCCAGCATGGGATAGCCCTATACGTCTTTTAGCATCAAAAGGAAGGTGGTGAAGTAGTTGCCAAATGCCATTTGTCAACGACAAAGACATTACACCTATGGCCATAACATATTACGTATAAATAATGTACAATACTCAATTTTAATCACATACTCCCTCCATCCTAAAACTTTTTTCCCCGTTGCACAAAACGAAGAAAAATCTCAAGTTTTTCAATCTATTTTATTTAAATGTTGGTATATAAATAAAAAATAAAACATACATATTTAAAAACTACATCAAAAGTTCAATAAAACAAGTGGTGACAAGAATATTTTATTTTATCATATAGGCTATGAAAAAACACAAATAAATATAAATTCTCGTGAAGTTGGAATAGTGCTCTGGAATTATTCATGAGATTAGTCTGAAATTATTTTAATTTAATTTATTTTAAAATTAGCAAGGAATTAAAAAAATAGACTACAACAAGAGTTCTAGAAAACAAGAAGTGATTAGAGTATATATATTACTCCGTATTATTTTTCAAATGGGTAGCAAAAATGGAAAACAGAACGTAGTTAAAATTTGAAGTGATGAGTACTAAATATGCAACGTAATAAATTCGAATGGAGGGAGTAATATGTATATATATGATAAAAGTATATTTAAATATGGAATTAATGCACTTTGAATTTAATTACTCCCTCCGTCCCTAAAAACCTTTCTCCTTTATTTTTCATCCGTCCCAAAAAACATTTCTCATTTCTATTAAAAAGTCACTTTTACCCCTTACTTTTTCATACCCTACCTATCACGTCATACATTTTTACTAATAATCTATTCATCAAATCATATTTTTACACATCACATAAAAGGACATTTTCGGAAATTCAATACCAAAATACACTCCCCTTAAATCCCTCTTCAAAATCAAAACTCCCGTGTTTTCCGGGACGGAGGGAGTATATTACTTTTAAGTTTATTATTGTTATATGAAAATGTTCTAACATTTAATTATTTAAAACTATATTCCGTATATAAGTTCTGATAAAAAAATAACAAAAGTCAAAGTAGTACTCTAAAGACCAATCTTAAAAAGCAGAAAATTACTCGCGAGTGACGCGAGTTTTGTCGAAATAACTTCCAGGTCCCTCTATTTTAAAAAAGACAACCGAGTTCCTTATATTTTGTTGTAATGACTGGGAGGGGACATTTCATCCAATACATCATTCGTAAGTGTTTATAAATGTATTATTTTCCTATTTTTCCAATACCGTTTTTTCTTATTTTGTCATTACCTTGTTTTTTCTTTTTTTAATTTTTTTATTTCATTTGTTTTAATATAATACAAACAATTTTGAATTTTTATACGATTTTATAGAAGAAATTATAAAATAACACTTTAAAAAATAGTAACAAAATGAAAGAAAAACAAAAAAATAAAAAAGGAGCAACCTAAGATTTATTATCTTAAAACATTTAGAAAAGAATAGGAAAAAAAAATACATTTATTAACGTTTATAGATGAAATATTGGATTAAATGTCTCATTCCAGTCATTACAACAAAATGTAAGGACCTCTGCTGTCTTCTTGAAAATAGAGTGACCTGAGAGTTACTTCAATAAAACTCGCGTAACCCGTGAGTAATTTTCTTGTAAGTCATAGAAGGGGTACCCTCATTTGTACCCCATATGCACGCACTCTGGTTGAAGGAATCCAGATGGATTTCCGGATCTTCCTTCCCGGTGAACCTAGGGGCGTCAATCTTGACCTTTCGCGGGAAAGGTGTCAGATGGACCCTTGTGGTGAACGGGGACATCGCCAAGGGTTTGTCCCGGTCATTCTTTTCCCCGACCTTCCTTTCCAGCCTTTCCAATTTTGCCTCCATCTGCTGGATGCGGTCATTTGGGATGGTCAACCGGTTTGCCACCGGTAACCTGGGCTGGCTCTCTGCTTCCTCTTCCTGACGAGAGGCCCTCGTCCTTGCTGGCTCCTGCCGGTTAGATCGGGAGCGCCGGGTGCGGGCAGGCTCGGCCTCCCGCACCTCTCCTAGCCGGGCGAACGCGCTGACATGGGCAACGCTCTGCCCCAGCCTTTGCTTGGCTGACTTCCTCTAGCCTTCCTCCCTATCCCCTAGCCTTTCGAAGGCGGAGTTTCGGGAGGTCGCTGGCCGGATGTTTTTTCCTTTCTTCTTCTTGTGGGCCCTCGGGATGTCCCACTCGCCGTCATCGCTCTCAATAGAGATGCAATGACCATTAGGAGTGATCTGCGGATCCGTAGCTTGCGGGGGACGCGAGGCCCTGCAGCGTTTAGTGCGCCGGCCAAGTTGACAGGGGCCATGGCGCTGACCAGCTGGGGCTGGAAAGGTGATGACTGCGGCATCGGCGTCTGGAACGACGTTACCGCCATCGGAGCTTGTAGGGGCATGGTTCCCGCGCCTGGAAGGGCGAATGGGAACATACCAGGGAGGAAAGACATCCCCCCATTCTGTTGGCACATGGCCATGACCTGACCGAAGCCCTGGATGGCTTGTAGGTTGGCTGGGTCATTCATGAACGGAGTCATGCTTGGTGGGAACGTAACCCTCGGTCCAGCGGAAGGGATGGGGGTCGTGAATGGGCTGGTTACGCTAGGCGTTGGGACAGAACTCAGACCCAGAGGCAACACCGGGGCCGAAATGACCGGTATGGCAGCAGCCACAGGGATGCTGGCACCCTCATTGGTGGCTTGCACGTGAGCGGAAGCAGCATTGATTTGTTGGCTGGAAGACATTTCGAGTGGTGTTTTGGTGGGTAGGTTTGTGTTTAGGAGAAGAAACCTTAATGGTCCCACGGGTGGCGACAAAAAAGATGGTGTAAATTACTTGACCGGTCAAACTATACTAGACCGGGTCTAGAATAGTTTGCTTGATTTGGCAAAGTAAGATGGGTAAAAACACGCAGATTGACCGGTAGGACTTTAGGTGGAACACCTGTAGCCCAATTTATATTATAACGGAGAATGCACGGGTGCTTTTACAAGGGAGTTAGAGAGAATGAACTCGGATCCCCCTTTCTGAGGTTTACACGAGTATTTATACTAGGCTTAGAGGACAGGACCACGTGTGCCCACGTGGGGGCACGATGCTGATGTGGTGCGAGGTGACTGGTTTCATCCTCGGGCCGCCTTGTCGCCTTGTGAGGGAGATTATTCCCTTTGTCGAGTAGTGCCTTGGATGGATTCTTCAGCATCTCCAGTTGTCCTCTACTGACACGAGTCGCTACACGCCAAGCCCTTGTAGATTCTCCTCTGCCGACACTTTCCAACCCTAGAAACTACACCGGGTAATCTCCGTGGGATGAAATCGTCGAAGTTTAGGGAGAAATAGGGGGACAAAGTAGTTTGACCGGTATACCTTTTCGTGAAGTATACCGGTCATCTTTTGGCCGATTATATATCGTTATGCTGACGATTTAAGTCTCCCTTCCAAAACTTTCGAGATTGACCGGTCAACTAATTGGTCTTCTTCTTTGACCGGTCGTGGGTGGAATACACCCATCATGTATATAAACTTTAATTCCTATCACAAAAGTACACGAACTTTCAACATTCTTTCACCGGTGGTCCAATAGGCGGTTTCTAAGTCACCTTCAGGTCATTTGGGGTCGAATTATAATTTTATAAATCTAAATTTTATGATTTTGACCCTTTTTTTCTCTTGGTTCTCCACCTTTTTCTTCATCTTCTTCAAGACCCTCCACCGTCCCCCTCCATGTTTTACTTCTCTTCCTCTTCCAGCCCCACCCGCACCCCCACCCCACCCGCACCATTTTTTTCTCTTCTTCCCCTCTCCTTCTAGCCCCCCCTTCAACGGACATATTGTTCATTATCAGCTTTTTTCTTGGACCAACGGACATATTCTATTTACCCTATTTAAAACTCTTTTCCTTGGTTATTTTGAGTCACTTGAAACACTCTCAAAACACCTCATTCTTGTGGTCTTGATCCTCCATTAATATCTTCTTCAAATATAAGTTATTTTGGGAGAAAACTAATTGTTTTCAAGAGAGTGTTCTTGTCATCCATAGAGCTTAATTATTTTCTCATTTATACTCTTGTGAGAGTTTTTCTTGAGAGGTTTAAGAAGGTTACTATTCTTGTTGTACAAGACTTATGTGACTTAAGTCTTGGGTGTGAAGTCTTGTACAGGACACATCTAGGAGCGGTTGTACTGAGGCTTGTGGGATTCAAGTTCTGAAGTTGTAAATGGTTTGCCAAGCACCCATTGAAGTTTGATAAGTAGTGGTAACTTTGAGAGAGTCTCTCGGGGAATTGGACTAGCCACGAGGTGGTGAACAAGTTTATATCGGTAAACATTCTCAACTACTGGATTCACCCATCATCTGGAGTTGCACACTTTGTCTAACAATATGAAATGACACATGTACACTAGGAAGTCAAGTGAAATGCCACATCTGCACTCACTGGCGGGATTCTCAAAATTTTGGCAAAATGTACCTCTTTGTTACTCCATATATTTTTTTAAAGATGTGCTACATTTTTTTACAAGTTGAAGATGAGATTTTTTTTGTTACAACCATCAAAGATAGGGTACCACCTTCGTAAAAAGCCAAAATTTTAAATTAGAGACAATATTTTAATATTCCTTCCGTTCTAAAAATATACATTGTTATTTACTGATTATTATTTACTGAGTCAAACATTATCTACATTAACTTATTTTCATTATTAATTTGATAAAACAAAATAATCGTGCCACTTCTAGTTTCATAGATTTTTTAATCTAATTTTTAATTATACAAGTTTTATTTTAGAATTAAGCTACTCCCTATGTCCCCTAAACAATGCAACAATTACTATTTTAGTTTCTTGATATTTTTGTTTGTTTACTCATTTTGATTGATGAACATTTGATAAAATAAAATATTTTGTCACATCTTATTTTTTACAGTTTTTGATGTACTTTTGAACGATGTAATTTTTACATTTTATTTATCTATTAATTTATAAATAAAATAATTTTAAAAGAAATGATATTTTGAACGTTCCTCGAAATATTATAAACAAATTGGGATGGAGGGAGCTAGTAGGGTTGTAAAACGAATGAATGATTTTAATTCGATTTGTGATTCATATTTGAAAAAAAGAATACGAACAAGAATACAAATATTTATTGGAATTCAAACGAATACGAATGTATATACATTTGATTTGACGTGTTAACGAATATATTCGAATTTAAATATAGAAGTTTATACCTAATACATTTGTTTCATATGAAATACAAAGCAGAATATTCAAAGTACTCGGTAGGGGAAAGATTTGCTTACACACTCTCTCCAAACCCCCTACTCTCTTGGGATCTAACGATATTGTTGTTGTAGACATGCCATTTGTAGTATACAGTATTTGATTAACTTATGTGGCATTAATTTATGAAGCTATTAAACGTAAAAAAAAATCACAGTTTGTATTTTATAAAAAAAATATGAATACGAACATGATATTTGAATTTAATATAAAATTGAATACGAATAGTAATAATTATAGCAATGCAAAACTAATATGAATATGAATAATGATATAAATTTTCAAATATGAGTAAAATTTATAAAACGAATGAATCGAAAATACCAAAAAAAATTCTTTTGGACTGACATTTAATACCGATTTTTGGCAAAAGACAATTTAGAGTATATTTTATAAGAGATTGCACATGTAATTATCACTTATTCCAAATTAATTTGAAAAAAACATCGAAAAGTCTTTTTTAAGAATTCAAACTAAAATAACTTTAATCACATAAGCATATATTGCAGCAAAAAATTAGTTTAAGAGGGAGGGAGTATCAAACCTTAATTCAAATTTGAATTGGTTTCACGGAGTCCAATGTGCATAATAATCACTCCAACATCGTTAGCCACTCGTGACGCTTGGGGAGATAAGAAGAGAGAGAGAGAGACCCACCAACTGCAGACAAATGCTCAAAGCATCACACTACCTTTGGCTTTCTGGGGTTAGTTGGGCCTCGGATGCATTATAAAGTCTAAAGAGAAAGCAACAGCTGAGAGGAGAGCATTTTTAGGGTTGTTGCCCTTCTCGCGCTACCTGCTCCGTAAATTCCCAATCTTTTCAATCCATTTCCATTGAATGCAGTTTGACTGCAGATTTTTAGACACCCCACTCCCCTCACTTCTCAAAGGTCGCCCTCTCTCTTTTCAGATTCTGCAAAAGTTTGAGTCTTTTTTGTTTGTGTTCATGGATGAACCTTCAACCGGGTTAGATCTCTGACACTTACCAAATCCAAATGTGGGTTTTTTTCTATAGGAAATTATTGCTCTTATTTTCTTGTTTTGGACCTGGTTCTGCATGGTGCTTGGGTGTTCTGTGAGATCTAAGGGTCTGTTTGGTTGTAGATTCTTGGCCTGAAGCTTCTGCTTCGCCAAGTCCAACTGCTACTTTCTGTGGAATAGCCCATCTGCATTTCTTGGCTTTTTAAAACTGAAGTCTTTCTGAGTGAGGTGAGACTACTATTGTTGTGGTTGGGATGAAGTTACTTAGGTTTTTGGTTTTTGCTGGTTGTTTCGTTTTTGCTGTCGGCCAGCTTCCTTCCCAGGACATTTTGGCTCTACTTGAGTTCAAGAAAGGGATTAAACATGACCCTACTGGCTATGTGCTTCAGTCATGGAATGAGGAGTCCATTGACTTCAATGGCTGCCCTTCCTCTTGGAACGGTATAATGTGTAACGGCGGTAATGTTGCTGCAGTTGTTCTTGAGAATTTGGGCTTATCTGCGACTGTGGATTTTGAAGTGTTCTCTAATCTCACAATGCTTGTCAAACTCTCATTGGCAAACAATTTGATTTCTGGGAATTTTCCGGAGAAAATTGCAGGGTTCAGAAGCTTAGAGTATCTTGATATTTCTGACAATCTGTTCTCCTCGTCTCTACCGAAAGACATTGGAAAGTTTGGGACTTTAAAGAATCTTTCGGTCTCTGGCAATAACTTTTCTGGTTCAATTCCGGATGAAATTACCGGGCTGACCTCAATTCAGTCATTGGATTTGAGCCGCAATTCGTTTTCTGGCCCGGTTCCATCCTCCCTAACCCAGTTATCAGGCTTGGTATACCTTAACCTATCCATGAATGTGTTAACCAAGAGCATTCCCAGAGGATTTGAGGATATGGAAAAACTTGAGGTGTTGGACTTGCATGGTAATAGGCTCGAGGGCCATTTGGATCCAGAATTCTTAATGCTCACAACAGCAACTCATGTTGACCTTAGTGGAAATCTGCTTGTGAACTCGGGTTCTTCTCAGAAGCGGCCACTGTTGCCACGTATTTCCGAGACTGTCAAGTATTTGAATCTTAGCCATAACCAGCTTAATGGGTCACTCCTAAGTGGTGGGGGTGAAGCACAAGTATTTGGGAACTTGAAGGTTTTGGATTTGAGCTACAATCAACTCTCTGGGGAATTACCCGGATTTGACTTTGTATATGATCTCCAGGTTCTCAAACTGAGCAACAATAGGTTTTCCGGATTCATCCCTAATGATCTTCTCAAAGGAGATTCTCTTGTTTTGACAGATCTGGATTTAAGTGGCAATAACCTCACAGGTAAGTTGCTGTCTTTTTCTTTTCTTTTCTTTTCTTTTTTGAATTTAAAACTGCTGCTTCTGTTTTCTTGAGAAGTGTAAATGAAATCTTTGGAATTGTTAATCCACATAAATAATGTTCATTCTGCAGGAAGAATTGGCATGATAAGATCCACGACACTGACTTCTCTTAACCTATCCTCTAATGCACTCTCCGGGGAACTTCCATTAGTGACAGGAAGTTGTGCCGTGCTTGATCTCTCCAAGAACCAGTTTGAAGGGACTCTCTCCAGATTGAAGAAATGGGGAAATGTTGAATACCTCGATCTAAGTCAAAACCGTTTGTATGGGGCCATCCCGGAAGACACTGCCCAATTCATACGTCTACATCACCTCAACCTTTCCCGAAATGCCCTCAACAGTTCTCTCCCAAATGTAATCACCCAGTTCCCTAAACTCACACAGCTTGACCTCAGCTTCAACCAGTTAACTGGACCTCTTCTCACTGCTCTTCTGATTTTACCTAATCTTGAAGAACTTCATTTGCAGCACAATTCGTTCTCTGGAGCCATTGGCTTTTCTCCCCCACCATCCGGTGGATCAAACCTTCACGTTCTTGATCTTTCCCATAACCGGTTTTCCGGGCTTTTTCCTGTTGGGCTTGGGTCATTTCTAACAAGGCTTCAAGTGGTTGATGTATCAGAGAATGATCTCTCCGGTTCGCTTCCCTCTTCAATTGGCGACATTGTTGGTCTAAGTTCTTTGGATGTTTCGCACAATCGTTTCACTGGTCCTTTGCCAACAAACCTTCCCACTGATACTCTTCAAAGATTCAACGCATCATTCAATGGTTTCTCTGGAACTGTCCCGGAGAACTTAAGAAAGTTTCCATTATCGTCCTTCTACCCTGGAAATTCAGATCTAGATTTCCCTAATGGTCGTCCGGGTTCAGCCCAATCTCCTTACGGAAGCCACAAAAAGAAACCAATAAAAACTCTGATTAAAGTGGTAATCATAGTTGCATGTGTGGTTACTCTTCTAGTCTCAGTCTCAATTTGCTTTCTTCTATGCTACATTCACAAAACAAGAAGGAACAAAGATGTTCACCTCCAGGCTATCCCAAATCCTTCTGATTTTAGCAGAAGAGAGGGTGCTGCTGGCAATGTGGTGGTTTCTGCAGATGATATCGTGACCTCACGAAAGGGAATGCCATCGCATATTATTAGTCCCGATGAGAAAATGATGGGTTTATCCCCATCTAAGACCAGTCATTTCTCTTGGTCACCAGACTCCCGAGATTCATACGCTGCTGAAAACTTTGCCAGGTTGGATGTTAGCTCACCCGACCGACTGGCTGGTGAGCTCTATTTCCTTGATGATGTCATCACATTTACACCAGAGGAACTTTCGAGGGCCCCGGCCGAGGTATTGGGCAGAAGCAGCCATGGGACGTCGTACAAGGCAACCTTAGACAATGGGTTGCTTCTCACTGTCAAGTGGTTGAGAGAAGGGGTGGCAAAACAGAGAAAGGAATTTGCCAAGGAGGCCAAAAAGTTTGCCAATATTCGACATCCGAACGTCGTGGGATTGAGAGGGTATTATTGGGGTCCTACTCAGCACGAAAAGCTGATTCTTTCTGATTACATTTCTCCTGGAAGTCTAGCAAGCTTCCTCCGTGGTAACTTATTATATCTCAAGCCTTTTTGTTTAGTACAGTATTCCTTTACTTTTGTTCGTTTTGGGTGGAGTTCTAATTGGATTTGAATGTGCAGATCGACACGGGAGAAAAGGGGCATCCCTAACGTGGCCCCAAAGGCTAAAGATAGCAGTGGACGTTGCGCGTGGCCTGAACTATCTCCATTTTGACAGAGAGGTCCCACATGGAAACCTCAAAGCAACAAACATACTGCTAGATGGAGTTGATCTCAATGCACGGGTTGCTGATTACTGCCTCCACCGCCTCATGACTCAATCTGGAACGGCCGATCAGATTCTTCATGCAGGAGCGCTGGGGTACCGGGCCCCAGAGCTGGCTGCTTCCAAGAAGCCACTCCCCTCCTTCAAGTCAGACGTGTATGCCTTTGGGGTTGTGCTTTTGGAGCTGCTGACCGGAAAACGTGCAGGGGATGGGGTGTTCGGTTCTGGGGAAGGAGACAGTGGGAGGGGTGTTGATTTGATAGATTGGGTGAGGTTGAAGGTGGCGGAGGGTTGTGGCGCTGACTGTTTTGACCCTGGGGTTTTGGCGGAGATGGGGAATCCGGCGGTGGAGAAACAAATGAAGGAGGTTTTGGGGATAGCATTGCGTTGCATACGCTCGGTGTCCGAGAGGCCGGGCATCAAGACTATCTATGAAGACCTCTCATCCATATAGTGTGGGATGTGATGAGGTGTTATTTGTCATTAGCTCTCTCTACTAGTCATTTGTAACCTTAGCTTCTTTGGGGATCAATTAGCTCATTGGCCTCCTCTCTTTCTTTCTTTTTTTAGTAGGAAGGAATGTTGGTGTGGATGAACTGATTTTGTTGCATGTATATTGGAGTTGTGCTTCAACTCCCTTTCTTTCCACATCAAGGGTCTACCAAGCCCCAAGTGCCCATACATTTGGGGTGGGCACGATTCTTGAGGGTCTGTTTGGAAATCAGGAAAGTAATTTCTAGAAAATGAAAGATTTTTTTTCAAGTCATTTTGTATTTGATTGAAAGTCTCAAAATTGTCTATTTTGGTTGAAAATGGAAAAATCATCTATTTTGACTTCCATTGACCAAAGCTCTTATTTCTTTTTTCTTCTATTTTCCTATGTTACCAAACACCAAAAAAGAGGAAAATGACTTCTACAAATAATTTCCTCCTAACTTAAGGGGTGTATTCAATTAGGATTTTGATGAATTGTTTTGCGTTCTGAAAATCTGTAGTCGTGTAGGTATTCAATTTAGATTTTAAAAAGTCATTTAAAATCTAAGTGTATTCAATTCAGATTTTAATTAATTTTTCTAAATATGACGGTATTAAAAAATCAATAAACTTTTAAAGATTTTTTATTATATGGATTTTTATGTCTTGCTTATAAATATAAATCCAAGTTCCAAATCCCACCAATAGCCCTAGGATTTTGCCAGACTCCTCTCCCGCTCGAATTACGACCACTTCTTATCTTCTCCTTCTTTGATCCGTCTCCGGATTCCCTTCGGATGATGACTCGTCAGTGAGGAGCAGTGAACCGACGCCTAGGAATCCGACCGTCAGGACAAGGAAAGCTCATTACATCAAGGTCTCGTTGCATCGCAACCTGAACAGCTTACTCCCTGTGCCGAAAACCATCCTCACATTCTACGGTGACCCGACGGTAAGGGACCCCGTGAGGGTGGCGTTGTGGGTGAAGGGCAGCTTCCAGGGAGTTCTAGGAAGGAAGCCAGATTCAATCATTCGGGTTTTCAGCCGCAAGTTATCACGGTCTTCAAAGTATTCCTTATTTACAGTCACGCGGTCACGCCGCGCCGCAATTCCAAAAAATCAAACACCAGATGAGAATAAGAACACCCAACAAACGGTGGTGACCCATGTTCTTCATCCAAGGAACCAACAATAACAGGATTCGAAAATCTCTTATTTTGTAGATATTGAAATAGATCGAAGTTGTTGGATATTTGAGATGCACTCACATCAAACGGTGGTGACCCATGTTCTTCATCCAAGGAACCAACAATAACAAGATTCGAAAATCTCTTATTTTGTACTCCCTCTGTCCCATAAAGTGTTACCCATTTTGACTAAAGTAGAAATTAAAGGAGGGATAATTTTGTGTTGACTTTCCAAAAATATCCTTGATGTGATGGGTAAAAGTAAGATGTGATGTGTAGATTATTAGGAAAAAAGGTATGATGTGATAGGTAGGGTTTGAAAAAGTAAGGGGTAAAAGTGGTTTTTTAATAGAAATGGGTAGGAGATTGTGGGGCACAATTTTTTTGAAAGGTGTAAATTTTTTTGGGACGGAGGAAGTATATATTGAAATAGATCGAAGTTGTTGGATATTTGAGATGCACTAAAAATGGATTTCTAAGGTCACATTACAGAACTGATTAGAATATTTGTCGGACCAAAATCCACTTAATTAATTAAAAAGTAGGTCAAACTCTGCATGGAGTCTAAATTTTCTAAATCTTTTGACTTTTTAAAATTCAAAAAAAATCTTAGAAAATCTCAATTGAATACACCTCTCTTAGTTCTGCCATTTTTTACTTATTCTTATTGGAATGAGATCAGATTAATTCGAATAAGATCAGATTCATTTGGATCAGATCAGCCTTAAAAACTCAGTTCAGCCGAAGAGAACGTAGACCCTTATTGAAATAGCAGCTCAATAGTGACTAAAAAAGACACTAAGATAGAGGGGAGGTACTTCATCATGCTGCTATAAGGTAGGTATATAAAGTTTGTTAACAAAACTCCATCTCACGAACAGGTGACACATGTAACATCACATATGGCTATTTGAACCAGCCAAAAAGACACATCAAACATTTTAATCCCTTTCTTCTTCTTCCCCCTCCTCGTAGTGCTCATCGTCGTCGGCAGTTGCATCCTGGTACTGTTGGTATTCAGCAACCAGGTCATTCATGTTACTCTCGGCCTCGGTGAACTCCATCTCATCCATTCCTTCACCCGTGTACCAATGCAAGAAGGCCTTCCTTCTGAACATGGCGGTGAACTGCTCGCTCACGCGCCTGAACATCTCCTGGATTGAAGTCGAATTCCCGATGAAAGTGGATGCCATCTTCAGACCCTTTGGAGGGATGTCGCAAACACTGGATTTCACATTGTTTGGGATCCACTCCACGAAATAGGACGAGTTCTTGTTCTGGATATTGATCATCTGCTCGTCGACTTCCTTGGTGCTCATCTTGCCGCGGAACATGGCTGAGGCAGTCAGGTAACGGCCGTGGCGAGGATCGGCGGCACACATCATGTTCTTGGCATCCCACATCTGCTGGGTAAGTTCAGGGACAGTTAGGGCTCTGTATTGCTGTGACCCTCTGGAGGTCAAGGGCGCAAACCCAACCATGAAGAAGTGGAGACGAGGGAATGGGATTAGATTCACTGCCAGTTTCCTAAGGTCAGAGTTGAGCTGCCCGGGGAACCGAAGGCAGCACGTGACACCACTCATGGTTGCAGAAATAAGGTGGTTTAGATCACCGACTGCAACGCCATAAATCATTTAACACTTAGAAAAAAGGGGGGCAAAATTAATATCCAATTGCAGTTGAATTGAAGAACTTACAAGTGGGAGTTGAGAGCTTAAGAGTTCGGAAGCAGATGTCATAAAGAGCCTCATTATCCAGAACCATACACTCATCTGCATTCTCAACAAGCTGATGAACAGAAAGTGTGGCATTGTAAGGCTCAACAACTGTATCAGATACTTTTGGCGAAGGAAAGACCGAGAATGTCAACATCATACGATCTGGATACTCCTCCCTGATCTTTGAAATAAGTAGGGTGCCCATACCAGACCCCGTTCCTCCACCCAAAGAATGACAAACTTGGAATCCTGTTTATTCAAAGCAAAGAAGAAACAACAATATAGAATGCCCATTACTAAATAGAAGATACTTTAATCACCTGGAATGAAAACACCATTATCTTAAAAGGCCAAGATGCAAAGGATGATACAGAAGAACATACAGTCAAGACAGCCATATGCAAAATGAAAAGCTCCAAATATAATCCATTTAAAGTTCACTAGTAAGGATATTATTGTCTGATGATGTGAGTATACAAATTTAAAATTAAAATATATAAAGCATTATGAAACATCACAAACAACGTAGGTAATGTATAATTTTTCAATTCTACTCAACAATCTCAGACAATATATTAGACAAAGGGTCTATTTGGGAATAGCATTAGAGGTTAACATGAACATTTTGAAAAGGCCATCTACGTACAACGTTTAGCATTAACGTTTTCAGTTAATCTGCACCGTTAGAATTTTATTCAAAACGCTAACGCTAATCGAAAACGTTAATCCTAAACAAGCCCAAAAATAAGAAACAACCCCCCAAACAACGCAAAGTCCTTCGAAAGATTAACCTTTTCATGCCAAAAGAAAGAAAAACAATACGGAGTAAAGCATAAGAAAGTAAACAAAGAACAGAGCAGAAGAAATGAATGATTACTCCTAACCAATCCTTACAATAAAAAAAAAGGGAGAAAAAAAGCAAGAGAAGAGAGTGACCTTGCAGGCAATCGCAGTTCTCAGCCTCCTTGCGAACGACATCTAGAACAGAATCAATGAGCTCAGCGCCCTCGGTGTAGTGTCCCTTGGCCCAGTTGTTGCCGGCGCCGGACTGACCGAAGATGAAGTTGTCGGGGCGGAAAATCTGGCCGAACGGACCGGATCTGACGGAATCCATGGTTCCAGGCTCGAGATCCATGAGGACAGCCCGGGGGACGAAGCGGCCGCCGCTGGCTTCATTATAGTAGACGTTGATGCGCTCGAGCTGGAGATCGGAGTCTCCGGCGTACTTGCCGGTGCGATCGACGCCGTGCTCGTCGCAAATGACCTCCCAGAACTTGGATCCGATCTGATTCCCGCATTGGCCTCCCTGGATGTGAAGGATTTCTCTCATCTTTCCCTCCTTTTTCTGCTACGTGCTCCAAAATCTGATTGGGAACAGAGCAGACTACTCCAAGTCTCGAGCAGTCGAACTGAACTTCTTGCCTTATTTGTTTGCTTCTTTTGGATTTTGATGTGATTCTTTGTTGCTTTCTCTCCCTCTACTACTATTTCTACCCGTGCCACGCACTCACAGGATAGAAAGAACAATTTTTTTCAATCTCTTCATTCTAAAAAATTGAACAAAACATAATAACAACCTCAAGAAATTAATAAATTAAATGATATATCATAAACATTTGCTAATGAAAATTTATCTATATAAATATGAAAATGAACATGTAAATGTCTAAATTAAAGCCATTTTTTTTGTTTAGGAAACGTTAAGATATATACCACAATTTTGTTGAAGTTGCAAAGGCTCCCGTCTAATCTTATACAGTACTTTCAATTTTGTTTTTGCTTTCACTCGTAAAAAAGCAGCTTACAATTGAATGTGAGTAAATACTGACTCGATAAAAATAATCAACAAATGATAATGTTTAGTCTTGACTTAAGGTAATTTTAAGGTAGTAAAAAAGGCAATTGACAATTATAACCCACGAGTTGGCCATATTTTTTTTAAAATAAAAAATAGACAAAAATGTACTCTTAAAAATATTCATAAGTAGGGATCCAATATAACACAACGAAAGAAGCTCAAAAATAAAAAACAATCTCAAAAATAAAAAATGAGCATATTTGTGTTTCATCTTACAACAAAAATTAAGGGATTTTTATTATACACAAGAGAATAACAAATCATATCTTAAATTACAAATGAATACGAATCTCATCTGCAAAACAAAAATTTCAAATTGGAATACTTTGCTTTTTTTTGGAAATCATCCTTCAATGTGTGTTTCAAATCTAAGTTCTTGGTGAGAAGTGACACCTGCACATACTAATAACAATTAATAACAATTCAACTATTTCAAGAGATAGTATAGTATATAAAGCTTTTGAACAAAAAGCTTTCTTTGCTCAATTATTATTCTTTGCCCTATTATTAGGCATTTATCTAGGTAGCCTCTCTACATATATATTATAGTAAACTTTAATCATTACTCTTCTCTATATACCCTATAGTATCATTTTGAAAACATTAATAAAGAAAAAATCAAATCATATGAATAATTTATTGGAAAAAAGATATTGAAGAGTCAAGACATCTAATTATCCAACACATTATATTGTCCAGCACAGAGTTAACCGGGGTACGCAAATACATATGTCTAAAAAATATAAATCAGAACTTAAGTGGCAGCCATTCTCATCAAGAAATACTAAAAGCTATGGAAGAAAATATTGCCTTGCCTACCACCATACTATAAGACAATATCTGAAAGTTTAGTGAATAAGTGTTGCGTTTGCTGGTTGACATTCTTTATAATCAAATAAATATAGGGCACACAACCACACATATTGGAAGATTTGGAACCAATGCTAAAAAATGTATAAAAGTAATGTACTTGTCTATCATAGTATAATGCTTACTTGAAAAGCTGTACAAGAGTCCGTAATGGGTAATGAGCCTCACTATGTAGTTTCTATGTTCACTTGTGATGCTCTCAAAAGCATTGCAAATGAGTAAAAGATATTGCTTTAATGAGAAGACATGATTAGACCAACACCATGTTAAACTCATGTAATATACTTTAATCTAAACCTTATACATCTTTTTGGCGAGGTTTGTCATCAAAAGATTTGATTTTTTTTGTGTACGGGAAGTTCGGTTAATCAACACAAGGGAACGACAGGTGTATGCTTACTTGTCAAAAAAATAGGACTCTAAATTTGCCACATGTCAACATTCTAAGCATCAGACTCTCAAATTTTATATTAAAGGATTAGTCTCAAAAATGTTCTAGAATTAGACTAAAAATATAAGTGTACCCCAACACGTTTCCACCACATAATTTAAGTATTGATAAAAAAATTAATGAATAAATATAAAATAAATGATTGACAATGGTGGTGTATAAATAAGGTACGCCAAAAGTGTACCCCAAATGTACACCACCCTTTCCATTATTGAATTTCGAAGTATTAATGTAAAATCACAAGTTTTTTTGTAGTATTTGTGTGAATTTTTCTTTTTCAAAATGGTACGGGACGAGTTTTCAAAAAATAAATACCAAAAATACTGAACTGGACCGTTACAACTAAAATATTAAATTAATAAATCAATTATACATTTCCATTTGTTATTTTTAGTAAGTTTAGATAATAGTTATTTGGTGTGACTTTACCATAGATAAACTTATCTTTTTATAATACTTTATTACCCCAAAGTATAACTCAAATTATAATTTTATTTGTTTAAAATCAAACAGTAATTATGTTGTCAAGTATTGTAACCAAACAATACTCTTGTTGAGTAAGAGTGCATAAAAATATTGGTGCACCAATATTTTTAATTATGTTGATTATTTATTACGAATCAAAATATTTCCAAAGCGTCAAATTATTATGGAATGATTTGGCATTACAGTGACAGGGTACCATCTTCTTACCGAAATACACGGTACCGAATGAGTTTAGGTGTAAAGCCAAAATCGTACCGTAGTGTTTGAATAATAATGTTATGGTACAATTTTTTTAAAATACCGAACCGTCATAGATCATGCCTTCTGTAAAAATAATAAAGAACGCTTTATTGATTGAATGAATAAGAGAGAAATACAAAGTATGTATTTTATAGGTGGAGGAATATATTCTAGAATCCTCCATATTAATGACTAATTATATAAGGTAATGTTATATAACAATAACTCTAACTATAATAGGTAACAACCATAATTATAATATATAATAATTAATATATTAAAATAATTAATATATTTAACATGCTACCAACGTCTTGGGAGGTGAAGATTGAATGCCAACTTTTAATTGAATCGTGACCAGAATTGTAATCAGAAGCTAAAGGCATATCTTCGGCTTAAGTAGACTGAATGCATCCGGCCCAGAAGAGAATAAGAAAGATTGCCAGGAAAGAGATCTGACGGTGCTGATGAGGAGAGGAGAAAAGTCGCTGCGAACAGACTCATGTTGCTGACATCGAAAGAGTGAGAAGGTTGACGTGCGCTAGAGTCGTGCACGACTAATTTAGAGGATAAACATAAAGAATGAAGTGTTGCTAGGGGTGCTTGTTAACTGAAGATATGCCTAGCCTCCTGAGCAAGTTGATGTGACAATCTCATCTTAAATCAAGAAGCGGCGGTGATGGACCTAGAAACAGGCGGTTGTGGTTGGGTGAGAATATATATTTTTTCGTTAGATGGAATTATGAAAGAATTAGGATTAAAGGAAGAACAAGCTAAGTGAAAGTGGGGCCGCCATCGCCGGACAAACCACCGGCGGCGTCAGCGGAAGCAAAAACTATTAGGTCACCAAGAGCAAATACTCCGATACCATGTAAAATAATAAAGAACGCTTTATTGATTGAATGAATAAGAGAGAAATACAAAGTATGTATTTATTGGTGGACGAATATATTGTAGAATACTCGACATTAATGACTAATTATATAAAGTAATATTATATAATAATAACTCTAACTATAATAGGTAACAACCATAACTATAATATATCATAATAAATATATTAAAATAATTGATATATTTAACACCTTCCCCTAATTTAGCCTCATCAGAATAGCAAAAATGATTTTAAAATATGAGTTTTAAAAATTTATTTTTTAAAAATAAATTTAATTTTTTAGAGTGTTGGTTGAAAATTTGGAAAATGAAAAAAAAATTGTTATAGTATGACGAGTTTTGATTTGAGAAATAGTACTGAGAAAAGGGTGAAAAACATTTCGGAAAAAGAAAAATAATAACAATCATTTTCTTTCGAATAAGATTCATAATTCATTTAGTTCAAAAATCATTTTGCTGTACACTTATTTTTGAGAACAAACATCGAAAAATGACTCTCAGGGTCCATTTGGTACACTGAATTGATGGAATTGGAATTGAATTGGAATTAAAATTCCATGAGATTCAATTCCATAGAATTGAATTCACCAATTCCAATTCATTTTATGCACTAACAATTCCAAATCCACATAATTTTTGTGCTACCAAACACGAAAATTGAAATTGAAGCCATGGTTTGAATTCCGTATAACAAACGGGGCCTCAGATTTCATTTTTCGCTGCTCCCAAACCGACCCTGATAGGAAATACGAGTAGTTTTCATTTTTTGGTTTTAGGAAATACATGTATCGTAGTTTCTATTTTTGGTATTAGGAAGTACAAGTAGTTTACAATTTACTTTCTCTGTCCAACAATAATGTTCTAATTTACTATTTATAAGGTCAATTTTAACACTTTATTGGTGTATTTTTGTTGCTAATTTGATAAAAAATATAGTCATGTCATTTATAGTTTTGTAGATCTTTTCATGTGATTTTTAAATATTTAATTTTTATTTTTTAATTGATACAATTTTTCGTATAAAATGATTTAGAAATAATTTTAGTCAAAAATCGTAACACACAACGAAAACATTTTTTTGATAAATTCTGTTTTCTAGTGAATGATTGAGTATTTGAATGAATAACAACGACTTAACCAACAATGGATTTTTGGTAAATGGTTGAGTTATCGAATACTCAACATCCCAAACAGAACCTGGTATGGTTTTGCATCCTTAAAATGTTACTCCGTATTAGATTTTGACCCGTGCGATACACGTAAAAATATTTTTTTATTATAAAGAAATAAAAACAATAAAATTATCATAATGTAGGCTCAAGGGAAATGAGCAAATTCTAAAATTGTTGTTCCACATCTGAACACAATTACAATAAATTTAAATACTAAAATTGTTTGGAGTTTTAGGGGAAAAAGGCACAATATTCCAAATACTCCGTATATGTTACCAAATCACAAATTTTGGAAAAACTTCTTTGTCAATCACATTGGTATAACAGTGTGGTTCGTTCCTTTGCCTTCTTCATCAAAAATTAAAATCTTCAGTCCTTGTTGGTGATTTTGGTCACACGTGAAATGAAAACATTTTTTTAACCGAAACGCACACCATATTAACTTTAGAAAATGTCAATACAAACAACACCAAACAAAACAACAACCCATACTCTTTCTAGCTACTAATGTACTCCGTATGTGTTAACTTGCCATTTAATCCAACCAATACATTCCTTGGCATTATGATCAGCTTTTCCATGTATCTTACCCATTTAACAAGTGCATTGGAGATGCTCTTAGACACAAGGGTGTGGGTGGCCGTGGTGAGCCGTGATGGCCACCTGACACAACCTCACCCTTCATCATGCCGTTGAACATCGGCCCCCTTTATGGTGATTGTGATGGAAGTGATGTCCATCACGGTCATCACACACCTTTCCTCCCCCAAACTAGTCGTTTCAACAGCTAACCTTTTAACATTGAATTCTTTTCAGTTATTTATTTAAACACCCCTCACCCATTTTTAAAATTTGCATTTTTTCTACATATTTCACATGCAAATTCTTCTCATATCTCTAAATATTATCTAAAATCATATTATGGGTCCTAACTGTTTGCAATTTTTTGAGTGGCAACGCCAATTTTTAGAAAATTCTCAACAAGTTTCGGGAGTGGTTGGCCTGAAGCCCGTCCTAGAGAATGATGTTGAGAGCTTTCTCGAAATGCAACCAACCTGAAAATCTGAAGAGAAGGCCGTGCACTATGGAGGGTCGATGATTTGGGGGGCAAAGTGAGCGTGGATATCGATGGAGGAGGAAGTGTTGGACTGGACATGGGTGACTATTTTAAATACCCGATTAGATGTTATTTGTTTACCTATAATTTTTACTTACCATTTTTTGGAGATTAGGGACGACCCAAAGTGTGGATTAATTTTGGGCTAGAGTCACTACTCAATCGGCACTATTGTGAATGCGGAGCCCTACCGCCGCATCGATGCCATCTATTCTAAATACCTCGACTTGAATACAAAAGTCAACAAATTCGTCGGTATATACAACCCCACCGCGCTCACTTGGCAAAGCGAGGTTAGTGACCAAGACGTCTTAATAATGACATTGGCCACGTACCAAGCCCAATGTAATACATCTTTCCCATACATGAAAGTGTGAGAGATATTGTATTCGCACCCGAAGTTGGCTCCGGTGCCAAATGAGGTATCCAGAGTGAAACAAACTAAGACGCCGATGTCTGAAGGTTATAGTGACGCTCGTTGGACCCCAGCTATGCTGAGTGAGGATGACGATATTCCGACCCCAACGGAGCTGACACGACCCATTGGTAGTGATAAGGCGAAGGCGAAGAGGGAACCATACTCAATGACAGTCGGACCCAAAGGGTCAAGTATCGACGACCTCGTCTCCACCATGGCCACCTTCAACGAATTGCAGTTGCACAAGATTCGATGGAAAAGTCAAGCCCTTGACGAGGCACTTCACCTAGAGCGCGAACATATTAAGCACATAGAATATGTGATTCTGATGGTGATTGTTGATTGTTTGCTGCCTTTAGAGCGTGCAGATATACTAAAAATCAAGGAAAAAGTAGTCGGAAGTGGCTTGGAAATGCGGCGAACAACTTGACTGGCGATCTTTGATTTTTTTTTAATCAAGTAACTTTTTTTACTTTCAATCTAGAAGTGTATCGCTCTTATTTAATTTTCTTTCGCATTATGTCAATGTAATTTTAAATACGAATTTTAATGAAATATTTATTTAATATTTTAGATTTAATTATTTTATTCAAATATATTTTAAAATAAATTAAAATTGGGCATTATGGGCGTGAACCACACCTCTATGGTGTTGTGATGGGAAAGAGAAAAACAGAAATGACGTTGAGTGTCGCTGAGTGATGTTGAATGGATAGCGGGATGAGGAGATGGCTTGATCCACACCGAAAGTACAAAAATAATATAATATTTTTATTCTAAAAATAGAAATTTATACTGTAGTAACGTGACACTGCATATGTAAATTTTTGATTTTACAATACTTTTATAATATATATGATCATGATTAACAATAAATATATACTCCCTCCGTCCTAAAATTAACTTTCCGTTTGACTTTTCACGGTCTCCAATGCGGCACTTTGACCATTAATATCTTCATTTTTATATGAATATATATTATCAAAATAATATATTTCAAAACTATGTTTCAAAATGAATCTATTAATACTAAATTTATATGAAAATTCAATATATTTTTTTCGTAATATAAAGTCAAAGTTTAAAAACTTTGACTGCAAAAATCAAAATGAGAAATTAATTTTAGGACGGAGGGAATATTAAGTTCTACTTTAACAATAAATATGATAGCCGCGTTTGGGCGGAAATTCAGAAGGGGGAAACTTTTTCGGTCCACGCGCTACCGGTTCTCCCGCGCTTTTGTCTTCTTTCCCAGTAACCGTCGATATAGGGACGAGACTTCCATCTCTCGTTTCTCCAGCAAATCCTTTTCCCCTTTCTGACAGAAATTATGCCCATCACTTCGGATTAGAGCAGAAGGAGCCATGGTTTTCCGGTTCCCATGGAAGAAGAAGAAGGGGAAGACCCGAACCCGGATTTCCGACTTCGTGAAACTCCAATTCCGCCGCAGAAAGAACGCCGCCTCGCCGCTCGTCTTCGAGACCAGTTTCCCCACCTCCCTCGTCGATCTCATCGTGAACTACCGCGATAGATTCAAGATCCGGCCGCCGTCGCCGTCGCCTCCCCTCCGATCAAAGAAAAAGACGCCTCATCCTCCCCTTCTTCTTCTGACTCCGCCCCAAATTGAAGGCCCCGTTTCAGTCTCTCCCCCAGAACCGCTGCCGCTTCCGCCTCCACCCGGCGATCAAGAAATCCAATCCAGAATCCGCAGAGGTGGACTGAAACCTAACGAAGTGTCAGTGGTCGTGTTAAAGGTTTTCCTGATTTGTGTTCTAGCTATGGGCACCAAGAAATTGACATTAGGGATCACTATCTCTGCAACCCTGCTATATTTTCTTGAGTTCCTGGTTAATCACCTGTCCAGATTCTTGAGAATTCAGAGTAATGTGAGGACTAAAATGGTTAGGCCCGTTTTCGAAGATCCTTCCCAGCCCGAGAAGCTCTCCCGTGTTGAATGCGATGGAAGAAGTAACATAATTCCAGAAATTAAAATCGACGGGAAGTCGGAGGATATGATGGGGAAAGATAGATGTGAAAAATCTCACAAGGTCAAGATTTTTAGAACCAAATTGAAGAAGATACTCTTGCCAAAGAAGTTTAGGAAAAAACTCGAGAAACATTGCAAGGAGCTTGGAAACGAGGGATGGTAAACAAAAGGAGGGAGTTGATGTGTTGACGAGAAGGGTGCGTTTTGAAACTCGAAACGAGTTAGATGAAGCCATAGGTCTTTCAGACAAATTTGGTAACAGGCGAAGGCAATGCAATAGGAGGAGAGAAGAATCCGAGATACATGGCGCTATTTCCAATTGCATGCTCTTGTTCATCTTGCGGGAGGTCGGGTCTTAGCACCCGTGTGTATCTTGACACGGTGCGTATTGGCGAGATCAAGAGAAGCGCGATAATGAGATCGTTGAGGGTGTTTATAGTTGGATCATTTACTAATGTCTTTAGGTTCAAAGTATTATGCTAAACTAAACTCACTCTTCAGTTTGTTCTTTTTCTTTGGTTCAGAGGTAGTGTTGTTGCTGGTCTAGATTATGCTTTAGTCCTTATTTTGACAGATTGGTTCAATCTTTGGTTGATGCATCAACTCATTTCATGTTGTATCAGAATGACCTTTGAATATATACATAGTTTATGGATACAAGATTATATTACACCGGCCTTACTTTGAATGTTAGTGAGCGAACAACTTTTATCAAAATGCTCAACTTATAAACCTGAATCGTTAGACTACTTACAAGTTACAAGCAATATATTAAACACTTTTGGGGTCATAAACAAATACAAAATGATTAACCAGATTTTTTGTTTATATTTTGAGATGTCCAAAATCCAACGACAAAAACCTCGGGCAAATATTTTAGGTTTAAAGTTGTTTCATCAAACAAATGTGTCACGAGTTTAACTATCTTATATTAAGGGGCTGTTTGTTTCAGCCTCTTAATGGTTCAAATGTCTGAATGATTCAACACTTAATGGTTCAGACTGTTTGTTTCAGCCTCTTAATGGTTCAGATGTCTGAATGGTTAAGAGATTTGCCTCTGAATGGTTAAGAGCTGTTATCTGAATTGATCAGACATTTGCCTCTGAATAGTTAAGCAATATACTAGCTCTTAATGGTTCAGACCTCTTACTGGTTCAGCACTTAATGATTCAAACCTCTTACTGGTTCAGCACTTACCCATTCAGAAGTTGCCAAACAGCCCCTAAACCTGCTAGCACAAGTTTTATCTAGGACTGGGTTAATGCAGGGTTGAGGAGTGTTGAGTGTTACTTCAAAGTCCCACATCGGTGGGATAGGAAAATTGAGGAGGGATTGGAGCCTATAAATAAAGAGGAGATATAGGCTTCCATCACACAACACAATCCTTCAATCTATATAATTGTGTATTAGATTTTAGGTTGTGAGTGTCAAATATTGGAGATGGTTTGTAATTTTTCCGTGCAAAAATTACTAGTGAGATTTTATCCCAGAGGGGGTCGTGGAGTAGGTCTTGAGGTGCCGAACCACGTTAAAAATTTGTGTGCTCTCTTTTCTTTTCTTTCCATTTATTTGCAGTGGGGGCCTAACAAGTGGTATCGGAGCCAAGGTGCAGAGCTCGGGTGATCTGGTAATTATAATTCTTAGTATGCTCTGTGGTTGCAGCTTTGACTGATCTTCCACATCAGAAAAGAATTATTAATTACAGAGTTGCAGTCTAGGGAGGAAGGAGATAGAGCAAGGAGCAAGAGGAGGGCGTGCCACTTCAGTGGAGGAGGTTGTGGTCCAGTCAGCAGAGGTGGGTCCGTGAGTGCCATGTCAGCCGTCCGTGGGTCCGAGTGCCACGTCATCATCCAGTCAGCACCACATCAGTAGGTCCAGTCATCGTGTGGGTCCCACTGGTGACTTTCGGAGAGAAGTTGGTTCTGACTAATTTTGACGTCCTGATTCCATTTTTGAGGCCAGTTTCCTCAAATTTGGATTATTTGGTATTGGTTGATTGCTGCTTGAGTGGAACTATGACTACCTTGAAGTTTGAAGTTCCGTTATTTGATGGAAGAGCGGACTTCATGTTGTGGCAATGCACGATTCAAGACTATTTGGTCCAGCAAGGTCTTGATTTAGCATTGCAAGATGAGAAGCCAAGTGATATGAAAGAATCAGAGTGGAGTACAATCCAGAAGAAGGCTGTCAGCACAATTCGGTTGGCACTGTCCCCGCAGATTAAAGTGACAGTGCTGAAAGAGACATCACCAAAGAAGCTGTGGGAAACGTTGGAGAGCAAGTTTGCGTCGAAGACACTTACTAACCGGTTGATGATGAGGATGGACTTGTACTCACTGAAGATGGAAGAGGGAGGTAGCGCAATTGATCACATCAACAAGTTTAATGAGCAAGTATCAAGGCTGTTAAATGCAGGGGAGACTATCAAGGATGAAGAGCAAGGGTTGCTTCTACTGGCTTCACTACCAAAATCCTTTAAGTCGTTTGTGCAGTCAATGATAGCAGGAAGGACTACACTGCGACTAGATGAGGTGACGACTGCCTTGAAGGAGAGTCAAAGGATGATGGGAGGTGAAGAGTCTTCCGGGGACAGTCATTTACTAGCTGCTGTGAGTGTTGAGAAAGGGAGGAAGAAGAAGAGTGACCAACTTGGGAGAAGATCTCAGCTGAGAGACATGAGTACTGTTAGGTGCTATTATTGTGAAAAGTTGGGTCACACGAAGAACGGTTGTCCAAAACTCAAGGAGGACTTGCAGATCCTAAAGGAGAAGAAGGGCAAATCGAAGGAAGCTTCTTTCGCAAATGTGATCACTTATGAATATGATCTCCTCTGAAGATAAGAGTACTGCTGGACAGAAGATTCTGCAGGATGGGAGTATCGCTGCAGAAATCGCAAATGATGTAGGACTTTGAATTAAGGGAAGATTTGTTGAGTGTTACTTCAAAGTCCCACATCGGTGGGATAGGAAAATTGAGGAGGGATTGGAGCCTATAAATAAAGAGGAGATATAGGCTTCCATCACACAACACAATCCTTCAATCTATATAATTGTGTATTAGATTTTAGGTTGTGAGTGTCAAATATTGGAGATGGTTTGTAATTTTTCCGTGCAAAAATTACTAGTGAGATTTTATCCCAGAGGGGGTCGTAGAGTAGGTCTTGAGGTGCCGAACCACGTTAAAAATTTGTGTGCTCTCTTTTCTTTTCTTTCCATTTATTTGCAGTGGGGGCCTAACAAGGAGCTAGTTTAATTTAATATTTAAGTTTGAATTTATTATGTTTTTCGGGCAGACAATCCAAAGTTGTGTTTTTGTATTAAGTACTTAAGCTTTTGCACCGTTTTATTTTACTCCAATGGATAAATAAATATCATTTGAAGTAATTGTTTTAAATTTTTTTGAAAATTATTGTGTTTGGATGCCAATGTAGTGATAATCGACTGGTCCGCTAGTCCATGTATTCAGATTATGCGTGTTGGGGTGTTGCAAAACCCTTCTAGTTTTTTTATAATTTTAGAGAATAATTGTGCATTAATTCTAGAGAGTTTTTGGAAAATGAATAGTCGAATAGAGAGATGTTAGATTCACAAACAAAATGGTCACAAGATTCACAAACTTACTATTTGTGAATTTCAATAATTTTTTTTAAAAGTAAAATAATTTTAAAATGAAATTAAAATTGAAACCATAAATGGTAAGTTTGTGAAATTTGTGACCATTCTGTTTGTGAACATAGCATTGCTCAAACAAATACTTTGTAGTTTGTATGGAGTACAGGGAGGGGAATAACCTATGTGGCAAAGGAGAATGGTTAGAGAGGATAGGAGAAAGTGGTGGGGTGGGGTGGTGGTGGTGAGTGGAGAGTAATATGCTTTAAGAAAATCCCCTAAATAGGATGTCATATCCTCAAAATAGGAGCTCAAACTTAAACTTCTCTCAATAGGAGTAATTAATTAAGTATTCAGTAATAAAGAAAGAAAACATCGCATCAATTTCTCTAAAATCGTACCATCTCCAGGGAAATAAATTCAAACGAAGAACATAGGTGATTGTTCCGATCTTTACTCTAGTCCTGATAATTAATAATAGTTACTTTTAATGTATTTATTAAACCAAGTGAGAAGAGTATTTTTCTACGCACTTGAAAGTGTGTTGAAGAACAAATACGTCTTTTAGACAATTCCATAAAATCATAGAAATCGCACGAAGAACAAACTTACGCCTCTATCTCTCTCCCCTTGCAGATCTATTGCACCGCCTATATCCATTAGAGCTGAGATTTCCGCCAGTTACGATGACTGTGATTTTGATTTTTAATTAGCTTTCAAATGCTCTCGAATTGAGACTGCATCGTAGAAGTAAGAAATGCTTCCAACTAATTGCATTCATCTTTTTTTCTTCGAAAAATTGCATCTTCATTAGACATTTATTTTGGTTTGGTTTTTTCTATTTATTTTTGTATTCGATTGTTTTTCTTTAATTTTAATTTTTTTGTTTGATTGTTTTTTATTAGTTGTGTTTAAATCTTGTTCCCAATTTCAGCAAAATTTGGTGATAGTGATAGTGATAAGAAACTTATTGTATGTTGGCAATCTTGACATTTCACTTTTTTACATTTTATATTGACATGTTTGACATTACGCTATAACATGTTTGGCATTATGCAATAACATGTTTGTCAGTATGCATTATCGTCTTTGACATCGTGAATTTGGTTGACATTGTATTGAAAATTTTTTTTCCCTTGGCAGTTGGCAGTGACACCATGATCGACACTATGGTGGCGACAATGGCAATTTAAATTTTAAAATGTAGCATAAAAATAAAAAAAATTTCAATATTCTAATAGTCACTGTTTTTGGCATTTTAAATTTTAAAATATTTTAATTTTTTATCTTTAAATACCAATTTAAAATTCAATTCAAATATCATAAAAAAATTATTTTTTCTATTATTTCATTTCAAAATTTTATCAAATATTACTTCAAATTTTATTATTTTTTATTTCAAATGGTCATTCCCTTCAAATTTTTATGGACCCCAATTTCCTAATTTGATGCAAAATCCAATTTTTGTTTCGAGCACAACTTTGCAAACAAATCAGCTTCCAAAAAATGTACGAGAAAAATTTCCTCCCACCACAATACTCAGTTTTTGGATCAATATACCAAAAAATAGCGAAAAAAACAAAAAAAGATTTGAAAGCATTGTTAACATAATACGTTGTAGACTAACACAAAATGACTTTCTCAATATAGGACCACATGCTTTTATTTCGTAATGTAGGACTATTGGTAATTAGGGAGAAAAATCAAAGTAAGACTAAAACATTGAAAATATATCAAAATAGAGCTTCCATTTTTTTATACCCGAAATAGGACTTACATTACCAAACATGGTCATGCACATTACCAAAAAAGTATAGTAATGTGCACATGTACAGTGCCACATTACCACTGTGCAAAGTCCTATTTCGAATTAAAACATGAAAGTTCTATTTTGATATTTTTCTCTATGTTTTAGTCCTATTTTGAGTGATTTCTATTGGTCAATATCCATTAGTTATTATTCAAGTAAATGTCCACCATCATTGGATATTATTTCTTTCACTAGACATTATTAAGTATACTATTTAGGGACTAATTTAGTTTAAATCCTATATTGGGAAATGACTTATGTTTTAGCCCTATTTAGTACTCCCTCCGTCCCACTCTCTTTGTCCACTTACCTTTTGGCACACCATCCAATGCACTTCTTTAATCCATTTTATTTTGTAATTTGTATATTAAAAAATTATAGAAATTATATATTAATAATCTATATGTTAAGACAAATCAAACAAGATCACACATGACTATATTTAGGCTTACACATTGAGAGAATTTGATGAGTCAAAGTGCTTAGATGAACAGTTCCAAAAGTCAAAAGTGGACAAAGAGAGTGGGACGGAGGTAGTACAAATGTTACTAAGTTGTAAAGAATGGAATGAAATGGTCATTTTTTTATTGAACCAAATCACCAAAAACTCACATTATAAAAAATATGTCGAAGAGCAAAAAATTTAAATAAAAAGTTAATTAAAACTAAAAAATTTAAAGTAACGATATGTTATAAAATTATTAAAATATGTCTTGAAATAATAGAAATGGAGCACAATTTTTTTGGTCATAAAATTTAAAAATATAGATAAAATAAAATTTTTGATAAAATATAAGGGTTCACATGTAATTAATGGTAAGGGTGGAAAATAGAAGAATGAATAGAGAATGGTGAGAAAAATTGAAGAAGAAAATGATGTGACAGAAATGTGAAAGGAAATAGGGGAAGAACAATTAGTGAGCTGTTAGCTTCCATATTAATTCCAGGGACTAATTAATGATGTGCATGGCATTATAAATTTGTCAAAACAGAGGTGCGAAAACTCAATCGTAATGGCCTTCTTTTCTTGACAGCTTTCCTGTGCGATAAGAAAAAATATGTCATGCACGAAGAAGTGCCTGTTCCACATTTAAGGCCGAAGACTTCAAGTTTAATTAACTAAGAGGAAATTAGGTTTGGGTTGAGAAAATTAATTATATCTTTGATTTGTTTGAATGTGAAACACTGACATACACACTATATAAACTGAGCATTAGCCTCGTATCTTAGTAGTTCACATATAATTCGAAGCATTTCTTAGAATGGCAAAGGGGAGAATGAAAATTTTGTCATTACTATGTGTTTACTTTGTTTCAACTTTAGCGATCGCTAGAAATGTGAGGGATGATAATGAAAAGACAGGGTTGATTGGTAAGGGCGCTAGAATTGGAGGTGGAGTTGGAGGCGGCATCAGCGGTGGTATTGGTGGAGGTGTTGGTGGTAGATTTGGTGGTGGAGCCGGAGGTGGTATAGGCGGTGGAGCTGGAGGTGGTATAGGTGGTGGAGCAGGGGGTGGTGTAGGTGGTGGAGTCGGAGGTGGTGCTGGTCATGGATTTGGTGGTG